GGATTTAGTTATGTTATTCGTTCATGTAAATAGGATGAAAGTTGTCTACCTTTTTTTTTTTTTGTTTCTGCACAATATCCAGACATGCAGTTTGTTTAATTTCAATTTATAAGTTTCCAAACTTTAATCATTTCATAGTTTCTTCTTTAGTTTTAGTTATCATTATGGGCTGCGTAGTTGAAATCATTGTCTGTTATTTTACTTTTTCTGTTGTTTGCAAATTTAATCTTTATGGCATGTTATTTTTTGTTAGTTACTTCATGTTAGTTTAATTGCCTTAGGATATTGCATTTAATTTAGGATTTGTAGCTTTTATTACACTTGTTTGGTTGTGAAGTCCTTTGAGGTTTCCAAGGCAATTAGTAACCCATTTTGCAGAACTCTACTCTCTGTTTTGCAACATCGTCTGGGGCGCAATTCATTTCACAGGAGTTCTTTCCAGCCATCCTATTGGAGGTCGACCGTTAGAAAGGAGAAGGGTCATCTGGAAAATCCTATTTTCTTGTTTTTAGACAAAGCAAGTGGCACGCCTAATAACCAAACTCACGTGGTAAAGGCCGGCTAAGGATTTTTTGAGGAAACAATCCTTTGTTGGCACGCCTAGTGGGACAACTAGCAATGTGTATCAGTTAAACTTCACAGACCCTCTATTTATACATCCAGAAGCGTCTGGAGCCATGCCACCGAGAAAGAGCAGAGACAAAGAGGTTCAGCCAGCCCAGGCTGAACATGCAGATGATAGTCCACTCCACTCTGAGGGTGAAAATGATCCCATCACTTTTCTCCCAGTGTCACCTCTGGCAGAACGGTCCTATGGGAATCCAGTATTTAAGGAGAAAGAAGCAGACCGTGGGGGTGACTTTACTGAATCAAGTAATGTGTTTAGAGGTATGACTGAACATCTGGATTTAGCATTCAAAGAACAGAACCAGGCTATGCGGAGACTTGTTGACAGTCAAGCAGAATCCTCCAGACATCAAGAAGAGCTAATTGGACAATGTATAGAAGACATGAGACAGGTCTTTGAAGAAGGCACTAGGGTGATGCAAGAAACTGGGGAAGAAAGTCGTAGAACATTGCAAGCTGTTTCAGAACAAGTGGTTGAGCAAGTGCGACAGCCTAGACTTGAGATCCCTCCTCCAGTCGTTGAAATGCCCAGACAAATTTAGGAAGCCCTAATCCCAGCGCTCGGGGAGCAAGAGAATCAGCCTCATCCTAACATTCAACAGCAGAATTTCTTCATGGGTGAAGGACAAAGACAGCATGAACCAATGGAGGCTGTTGCTCCTGTTGCAAACCATGGCCATCAACCTCAGCATAGGTATATTCCGCCAAGTAGGAGGGGAAATGTGGGTCCTCATCATCAACCCTACCCAAGAGACTTTTTCCAGCCACAAGTTCCTCCAGCCCAACCGATACAGCACGGTCTGCAGAATCAACCAGCTCAATTATTCAATAGAGATCAGCTAATAGATCTGGTACAAGAAACCTATGGACCAGCCTTGAGACCATTGGTACATCCAGCCTACAGGAAGCCTTATCCAGACGTCATTGATCATGAAAATCCTTCTCCAAGGGGTTTTAAAGTGCCTGAGTTCACTTTATTTTCTGGTGAGGTTGGTCAGTCCACTATTGAACATATTGGACGCTTCACAATACAGTGTGGAGAGGCATCTGGAGATGATAACTTGAAACTCAGACTGTTCCCTAGCTCTTTGACTGGGACAGCCCTTACTTGGTACCTCAGTCTGCCTCAAAATTCAATCTACTCTTGGAGGCAAATGGAGGACTTGTTTCATACTCAATTCTATCGTTGTGAACCGGAAGCGTCTATGGCAGACTTGTCGAGGTTAGCTCAAAAGCCTGGAGAGTCGTCTGAGGCATTCCTTGCAAGATTCTAGAGAGCCAAACTGAAATGTAGAGTTGCATTGCAAGAATAGGAATTTGTCAAGCTGGCTCAGAATGGTTTGGACATTGAGCTCCGAAAGAAATTTGAGGGGATGGAATTCCGAGACTTTTATGAATTGTCTTATAAAGTGGCTCGGTATGAAAATCTGCTGAAAGAAGATGTTCAAAAGAAAGCTGCATCACATGGAACCTATTACAGTGACCCTAATTTTGATCTTGATGTGGCTGAGGTTGTTACAGACAAGCCTGTTGTTTGTCTAGACCTTGTCAGACCAACTCACCAGCCTGAGACGTCTGTGAGACATTATGTTGGTAAGGTTGGGAAACAGTATACTTTTGATGTGTTAAAAGCTAGTGATATATTTGACTACCTTAAAGAGAGTGGTCTGATTAAGCTGCCACCGGGACATAAAATCCCGACTGCGGCTGAAATTGGAGCTAGAGATTATTGCAAATTTCATAATTCTTGGAAGCATTCTACTGATAATTGTCTTATTTTTCATAATGTCTTACAAGAAAAAATTGATAAAGGTATCTTGAAATTTCCAAACAAAGCAAAGGAAACCATGGGAGTGGATGCAGACCCTTTTCCAACTGTCTCTGTCGGCGTGAATGATGCAAACCTCAGGAGTGTTGCCAGAAATCGTAGTCTACATTATGCTCAAAGGAACCTTGCTACTAAAGACTTGAGGTGGGTGCTTGAGGCACAGAGATCCAGACATAGCAGAAGCGTCAAGTCAAACCAACAGAGGCTTGGGGGGCAAGGAAGGATCATTGTGACCAGGAGCTTCAGCCCAGAAAGTACCAGACCTCATTCAGAGGGTACTAAGCCTCCAAGGATGGTCAAACCGCCACTCAGGTCACCTTCTAGACAGTGGGAGAAAGTCAGTCATCCCAAGTTTCTAACCCAGAATCCCAGAACCTTGAGGCGCAGACTACAACGCAAGAAGGCTGAAGAGAGAAAAAGGCAACAGAAGCAGACAGAGGCTGAGGGAAGTTCATCTCGCAGACCACGCCAACCTACCAAAAGGAATATGGTTTGGGTAAGCAAAGAGAAAAGGAGGCTGTAACCCCGAATCAGCTAAAGGGGGATGACCAATCTCCAGCCTCTCCAAAGGTGGCATCTATCATTGTGAGTCCAGACGGAGTTTTGAAAGCAACTTTTGAAGCACAAGAACAGTTTGAGAATCGCGGAGCTGAATCAAAAGAAGATGGCACTATTCATTTTGGGGAATTCTTAGTGAATTTGTCATGTCTGGTGCTGACATTACCCTTGGTTTTCCAAGCCAAGAAGGAGAAGGAACCAATCATCTGTGAGTTCCCAGAACAGATAGAAGAAGAGGTAATCATTGTTCCAGCTCAGGATGATGAAGAGGAGGACATGGCTGACAAAATTGTGTTTGAAAAACCATAAGAAAAGATGGCCAGACACATTAGGCCACTTTATATCAATGCTCACATGGATGGGACTCCAATCAGCCGTGTCTTGGTGGATAATGGAGCTGCAGTCAATGTCTTTCCAACTTGCAAGCTCTACAAAATAGGCAAGTCTCGTGATGATTTAGTGCATACTGAGGTTACAATTAGTGATTTTACAGGAGGGGTGAATCGTTCAAGGGGTGAATCGTTCAAGGGGTGTGCTGCCTGTTGAATTAACAGTGGGAAATAAGACACTGATGTTTGCGTTTTTTGTGGTGGATACTGTTGCTACTTATAATGCACTTTTGGGGCGTGACTGGATTCATTCAAGTTGGTGTGTCCCTTCTTCACTTCACCAAAAACTGATTTTCTGGAATGGTGGCAAAGTTGAGGTGGTGTCTGCAGATGATAAGCCTTTTTCAGCCAACACCCACCTGGTGGAGGCTAGATATTATGAAGAAGACATTGGTACCATTCGGTTTTTTGGGATGGATAGACATGGGAAGCCGATTGGAATAACAGCATGTAGCAGACCGTCATTGTCTAAGCGTGTTGCAAAGGAAGTTTGTGATGAACTTCTTCAGCCAACAACAATAATTCCTTATAGGCCGAAGGGGAAACTAAAAATTGAAGAAATCTAATGAAGCAAGCTCGTTTGAGACAGGAAAGAGAAAAGCCATGTTGGAGATAACAAAGAAATTAGCAGCCTATTTTGCTGAAAAAGCAGTTCAAGTAGATAGGTCTGAAATTGTTCATGAAGGTGAGGAGGCAGACCAAGGTGATGAAATAACTTTGGAGGAGCTGGATTTGGCCCCAGCCAAGTTGGATGATTTAAAAGCTGAAGTTCAAGACCCACTAGAGGAGATCAATCTAGGGTTTGAAAGTGAACCAAAGGTAACATTTAGCAGCGGCTCTCTTGAGCCGCAGACACAAGATCAAATTGTCAGACTTTTGCATGAATTTAAAGACTGTTTTGCTTAGGATTACTTAGAAATGCCAGGTCTGGATCATAAATTGGTGGAACATAAACTACCAATTGCAGAAGGATTCAGATCGTATAAACAGCCGCCCAGACGCATGTCTGCAGAGGCCACTTTGAAGGTGAAAGAAGAAATTGAGCGGCTGGTAAATGCTGGATTCATTCGGACATGCAGGTATGCAGAATGGTTGTCAAATGTAATGCATGTGCTGAAAAAGAATGGAAAATTAAGAGTTTGTGTTGATTTCCGAAACTTGAATTTAGCTACACCAAAGGATGAGTATCCTATGCCAATTGCAGACTTGTTGGTTGATGGAGTAGCCCTTCACAAAATCTTATCCTTCATGGATGGCCATAGTGGGTACAACCAAATTTTTATTACAGATGCAGACGTTCCAAAGACAGCCTTTCGATGCCCAGGTACTGTTGGAACTTTTGAATAGGTTGTGATGCCATTTGGTCTGCCGAATGCTGGAGCTACTTATCAAAGAGCCATCAATGCAATTTTTCATGATATGATTGGTAAATTCATGGAAATTTATATTGATGATGTTGTAGTGAAGTCACATGGGGAAGCAGATCGCCTGGTTCATTTGAAGAAGGCTTTTGAGCGGATGAGGCAACATGGTTTGAAAATGAACCCACTAAAGTGTGCCTTTGGAGTGTCTGCGGGTAACTTCCTTGGGTACTTGGTGCATGAGCGTGGTCTAGAGGTTGACAAGAACAAAGCCAGGGCTGTGATTAAGGTGAAACCACCACAGAACAAGAAGGAGTTGCAAAGATTTCTTGGCCAACTTAATTTTTTAAGACGTTTCATTTCTAACTTGGCTGGGAAAACTAGAGCCTTTTCTCCTCTGTTGAAACTCAAGTCTGAGGCGGATTTTAAGTGGGAAGAACACCACCAGTCTGCCTTTGATATGATAAAGCGGTACTTATCCAGACCACCAGTACTTGTACCACCTGTGAAAAATAAGCCTTTAATTTTGTATATATCCGCCGCAGACGAGTCCATAGAATGTCTGCTGGCACAGGAAAATGATAAAAAAACAAAAGCAGGCTGTGTATTATTTGAGTCGATGTTTGACCCAGACCGAAGTGAAATATTCTTCGATCAAAAAGTTGTGTCTTGCTCTCTTTTTTGTTGCAATAAAATTAAGACACTATTTGATTTATTCCGAGGTATATGTGATTGCTAAGACTGATATTGTCAAATATATGCTGTCCCGCCCTTTGTTGAGAGGCCGAATAGGTAAATGGATTGTGGCCTTGTCTAAATTTAATTTGAAGTATATACCACAAAAGGCTGTCAAAAGGCAGGCACTGGCAAACTTTCTTGCAGATCATCCATGTCTGGATGTGGAAGCAGATGAAGAAAAAGGGATTAATTTGTTTTCAATAAGTTTAGTTCCTTGGAAACTTATTTTTGATGGATCTAGTACAAAAACTATGTCTGGAGCTGGAGTCGTGGTAATCTCCCCGTCTGGGCTAAAAACACAGATGTCTTTCCAGCTGGATTTTGATTGCACAAATAATCAAGCAGAATATGAAGCTTTGATTATTGGTCTTGAGATGTTGGTGGAGCTTAAAGTATCCATGGTTGAGGTAATAGGGGACTCACAGCTAGTCTTGAAGCAATTGTCTGGTGAGTACAAATGTACTAGTCTTGCTTTAGCCCCTTATTTTGCCTTGGCTGTGCAATTATTGGAAGAGTTTGACGATGTGTCCATTAGACATGTGCCTAAAGACCAGAACTATGAAGCTAATGAAATGGCCCAAATTGCTTTAGGTTTGTGAATTCTTGAAGGTGTAATGCAGAAAGTTGTAATAGTTGAAAAGCATAGTCTGCCATCAATTTATCAACGTGGCATGACAGTTTCTACTTGCAGCATTGATGTCACCTAGACAGACTGACGTTTTTCAATTATTCAGTACCTTAAGGATCAGAGCACTAAGGTATCTAGGAAAACCAAAATGCAAGCTCTCAATTATGTCTTGATTGAGGATGTGCTTTATAGGAAAAGCTATGATGAACTACTGCTACGTTGTCTGGGTCCAGATGAAAGTTTCCAAATGCTGTCTGATGTCCATGATGGGATTTGTGGTGCACACCAGGCTGGGATCAAGATGCGCTAGCTGATTCGCAGACATGGTTTCTTTTGGCCGTCTGTCTTGACAGACTGTATTGCTTATGCTAAGGGCTGCAAATCTTATCAGATCTATGGGCCACTTCAAAGAGTTCTAGCCTCTGAACTTAATTCTATTGTGAAACCATGGCCATTTCGAGGCTGGGCTATTGATTTAATTGGTAAGGTGTATCCCCCTTCATCCAAAGGTCATTCATTTATTATAGTGGCAACGGATTATTTTACCAAATGGGTGGAGGCTAAACCAATGAAGAAGGTAGATCAATATGATGTAATCAAGTTCATCAAAGAGGACATTATTCACAGATTTGGTCTGCTAGAAACAATTACAACAGACCAAGGCACAGTTTTTGTCAGCCATCAAGTGGAGGCATTTGCAAAGGAAATGGGTTTCCATCTGTTAAATTCTACTCCTCATTATGCACAAGCTAATGGGCAAGCGGAGGCTTCTAATAAGGTGGTGATTAATTTGCTTGAAAAAATGGTGGATGACAACCCCAGACGCTGGCATGAACTGTTGTCTGAAACACTGTGGGCTTATAGAACTTTACAAAGGAGTTCAAGCTAGATGACACCTTTTGCCTTGACATATGGCCACGATACAGTCTTGCCAATAGAGTTAACAGCCAAGTCTTTAAGAATAGCAATTCAACATAATCTCTAGTCTAGGGAATATGATGAGGCTATGATGCTTGAACTTGAGGACCTTGAAGACACACGTTTGGCAGCTTTGGATAGATTGCAAGCTCAAAAACTCAAAATTGCAAAGTCTTACAACAAGAGGGTAAAAGGTAAAAATCTGGCAGTTGGTGACTTGGTCTGGAAAGCAATTTTACCTCTTGGCAAAAAAGATCACAGATTTGGGAAATGGTCCCCAAATTGGGACGGACCATTTCAAATTCATGAAGTGTTGAGAGGGGGTGCTTATTGGTTGGAGTCACTTGATGGGGAGCTTCACCCTAGAAAAATCAATGGAATTTATCTCAAGCCTTATTACCCCACAGTCTGGGAGGCAAGAGGCTTAAAGTCCCCAGAAGCTGTCTGAGCCAGGTTCATGCTTCTGTCTGTGCATAAATAAGTTGATTTGCTTTCATGTGTTTATTCCAAAATGAGAGCAAGTTTGATCGAGCAGCCATGACTGGCTGTGGATGGCTGGATGCGTTCAGATAGAGTCAGCTGTAAAAAAGTTAGGAATACCTGTTGCAATCATCTTGGGATTTAGCAGATTTTGCACGTGGCCTTTGGAGTCTGAAAGGTAATTTAAACACTTGGATTTATTCTCATAAAACCAAGTGTTGGGGGGCATTGTTTACACCTAAAATAAACCAATAGGGTAAGGCCACGTGTCAAGGTAAAGCCCAGTTATCTAGAAAATCAATAGGCTGGATTTGGGCTGGGCTGGCTTACAATTTAACGACCCAGACGGATTTCCAAGGAGGTTGAATCGTAGGTGGCAGAAGATAAGATTGGATCTGGTAGTTTGAGTTTGATTTAAAATGGGAAATTGAGGATTTTTAGGTAGTTATCTTTAAGGTTGTTGGAGATAAGGTTAAATAAAAATCGGATAACTATTAAACAACAGCCAGACCTGCAACCCCACTACCAGATCATGGAGGAACAGTACCGAAGATCATGGAGGAAGTTACCAGCACCGAAGAAAATAAATACAGAGAGAAGAGAACAGTTTCAGGGCCTACCCAACACACACACAAACTGCCTAGAGCATGTTTTTCAGCTTTCAGACCGCATTTTCTAGATTTCAGCAATAGTTTCCAAATTTTCCAGATTTTCCAGATTAGTTCATAGCCTTAGCCTAGGTTTGTTCATCTTTGTTCATATTTTCTGCCTTTTTGATTCAGTTAGTTCTTCTTCCTTTTAGGGATTTAGTTATGTTATTCGTTCATGTAAATATGATGACTGTTTTCTACTTTTTTTTTTTTTTTT